ACCGGCAACGCACCTGCAATTCGCCTGGTGTTGCGGTTGATCATGGGCGGCGGTAGTCACTAAACATCAGGTGAGCCACATGCTCGTTTGCCCCCTCTTCCATAATAAAAAAAAATTAATATATATCTAGAAAATCAACTAACTCGTGGTCGTAAGCTTATATTTTTTGTACTTAATTGTGGCAGAATGCAGAAAGAGATATTTATTGGAGCAACAAAAAGGGTGACTAATGCAGTTTTAAAAGATCTGTACGGATTCAGCATGCTATGAGCTGAAGCTGAACACCAAGTCCCTAGAAATTTGGACAGATAGTTGGGAGGCAGCGTTGGGAGTTGTGAGGGATGAAAGTGACAACGCGTCTATGGCTTTCTTTCTTTAAAATTGGCTACAGGTGTTCCATGGGTTTCCGTAGAAACTTCATTTATCACGTATCCATTATTTAAAAAAAATCTTTAATGATTATAATATGATTTTTTTATTTAATAGATTTGTCAAATAAATTCACGAATAAAATATTTCAGTGCTGTGAGATAGATATTAAAATTTCGATTGTTATTAATTTTATGTTTCACAATGTGTATACAAAGTTCTCCAATGGCTTTGATTTTACTCAACTACACATACTTCGTCTTTATTTATATCTACACAGAGTATCAAATGCGACAATCTATCATATGCAGGTTCAGTACACCGGATAGCAGATTTGATTCACATAACATACAAAAGGCATTTACCATTACCAATTGGCCGAGTACCAATCGTTTAGAGTCAGGAAACACTGATTCATAAATGTCGAATGCAATGAGAAATAAATATTACTATCGGCGTGGTAACAGGATAAAATAATTCAATATAAACATAGGTATGTTTAGGAAGTAGGTCAGAGAACTCTATTAGAGTTTAAAGTGAACTGTGTGTTTATCATAATGCTTACTTATTATGTGATAATACAATTATTAAATATATAATAGGAAGGACCCAATAGTGTAATAGTTAATTTTTGATATCGAAATATTGAATTCGGATGTAAACAAAAGTTTTTTACAAGAGGGAAACATTTAGAAACAAATTGAGTCATCGACATCGGTTTGCTGCCCAATAAATCCTAGAATTCAACATCAAGTGGACGTAACATTTTACCCTCAACCGTGCCGATCTGGGAATTGCATCGGGGAAATAATCAATGTCATCTGACAAATGAGTAAAATCGTAAATGTATGTACGCCATACGCTATTGTGTTTCGTGGATGGTGAGTGGCGAGAACCTGAGACCCACTCAACTGGTAACGGTATTTTATTTATTCTCCGGCACCGGATAAATTAAGATGTCTACGGGCACACCATCAGCTTCATATATACTTGTTGCTCTCCTTTTACTCGTATAGAAAAAAATGCGCCACTGAACATAAACCCTCCAAATAATTGAAAAGATTATTCTACGTGGTAGAGCCACGCTGCAGCTATATTAAAGTTGTAGCACAAATGGGTCGGCTCGACCGAGTAAAATAGCATCTCAATACCGCTGTTTCGTATGGTGAGGGTAGAGAGCCGGAGACCCTTGTTACTGGATACGAGGTAACTCATCTAGTCCTCAGGGGTGACAATGCATCTGCATTTTGATCCTTAATCGAGGAATAGATGTGGATGGGATAGGATCTTGTCAGCCACATGTTACATTGTCACAACGACATGTTTGTTAGGCATTCCTCGATTGTATACAGACCTCATTTACTGTGAAACTGAGAAACAATCGTAATAACAAATATACAATCACAATGCAGTTTTAATAGAATAATAAACATTAGTTACCAAGTCAACAAATCTATTTGGCATAACTTTACCAACGATAATAAGTTAATAGAATGGAGTCATTTATCTGATGATTACAATAACCACACGATGCTAATGCTTTGTGTGGTTTACTATCAGATTGCTGTTATAGGATACTTGGATCACACACTGCATAGCAACAAGTTTCACCTTGTGTGTTGTCAACCACAGAAATCGTAATAGTAAGACAATATTATTTCTGTGTTGTCAACCGACTTCCATAAAAGGAGGAGGTTCTCAATTCGACTGTATTTTTCTTTGTGTGTAGCACACAAAGAAAAATACAGTAAAATACTCAGAACTTTTTTCTAGGTGAACTGATTTTGTTGATTCTTTTATTTTTTATTTGAAAGCTGCTCCTTCTCGTGTATTCCCATATAAATTTGATCAGTAGGTTTTGAGTTATTCTTAATAATGCGTATTTAATTGACTTCGGCTGCATTGATGATGTTATTATTTTATTTATATTGAAATCAGTTGTACAAAATTTTTATTTACCACTTGTTTTAAAGTCGAGAAATTTTTCGCTTTCTTGTGATCTTTATTTTTAATAGTTAACATACAATTTTAGAGAAGTATTGTACTCTCTAAAATTGTATGTACTGTTTTCTGGAACTCTCGAAATTTACAGAAGTATTGCATTCAGACGCCGTTTTTATTATTTTTTGTGTATTTAAATACGATTGTACAAATATTAAACACATCAATACGCTTCTTAATTGATTTAATAAAAACACAATTGCTATAATTATTTTATAGAATAAGGGTGATAAACGAGCAGACAGTCCACGTGTTGGTAAATGGATTCTGTGGCCGATAGACATTAACATTTATCCTCGATTAAGAATCAAAATGCAAATGCGTTGTCACCCCTGATGAGTAAGATGGAATGCTTCGCTTCCAGTAAAAAAGGGTCTCCGGATCTCTACACTCACCATACGAAACACAGCAGCACTGGTATTCTGTGACCGCGTGGACCTTCCTCGGTCGATCCGACACATTCGTGCTACAACCATAATATATATAGCTGTAGCGTGGCTCTACCAAGTATTACATAAGTATAAAATAAACGGAAAACAGATATTTGTAAATAATAAATATTTGATCTAACAGTAAATACGGATAATAGAGACGTAAAACAAAGGTTCCATTTTGTTTTACCGCACAACTGTGAAATGCAATAATATCTACAGCTAGACAGTAGAATTGACTTGTATTCACTGCGTGAATAACCCGGTAACTGATGAGTGAAAATAACTATTAACAAATGAATTAGTTTTTATGCCGTATCATTTCAATTAACTTGTAGTGTTATTATAAAAAGTTTTTATACAAAAACAACTGCCAATAAGAAGACGTCTTGGCAATAACTGAGTATCAATTTTTTATACAGTACCGTGTCCATTTATGGATTCACAAGCTATATCCCGCGACTTCACCCACGTGTAATTTTGCGTTTTAATTTTTTTGCGTGAAGCCCTAATTATTTTTCCAAAATAAACGTTACTCCTATTTGCATAGGTTACCGCCTATCAAAAGCCCATTATCAAACGTAGCTTCATCCATAGATGGCCTAATAGGAAAACTATGTGCCATGAAAGCACGCTCGGCAGGCGGCTTGAACTGTCATCAGGAAAATGCTGCTACTCGTCTTCTTTCATTTACCGAAGATATTTTCACAAGTTTTTCAGCCGAAATCATAGATATTTAGATGATAATAACTTATATCGTACCCAATATTCCGTTAAAATAAAAAAGTACAGACCTAGTTTTTCTTTATATCTACATTAATTTCCAAAAATCGTGAAAATTAGACTATGTTTTGTGGTGGAAAAAACGTTATTGCTTTTTGTATAAAAATTTACAGCTTCACAATCCTCTCGACAACTTTGAAATAATACTAATTTTTACGGAATTTATCGCGTATATTTAACTTTTTAAAAAGTTAAATATACGCGATAAATTCCGTAAAAACTAGTATTATTTCAATGTGTAGTGTTCGCGTAAATATAAGAAATCATAAAAAGTTAAATATACGCGATAAATTCCGTAAAAACTAGTATTATTTCAATGTGTAGTGTTCGCGTAAATATAAGAAATCATTACTCTCGACAACTCTTTCAGTTTGAATTAGTTACCTTAGTAACTAGTAATTTATGAAGAAAATTAAGGTAAATGAATTTCATACACTTACCCTAATGAATGTCAGTAACTAACAATAATGACAGTAACTCATTATTAATAAGCACTGATATTTTGTTTTTTTAATTTTATTTATAAATTATTACTTTGCAATTAAATCGAAAAAGTGGACCTTTGTTAGAATATTCATATTGCAAATTTAATGTAACTTTTTAGTCCAATTAAGCCTCGGGGTAAAGTGCCTACCGTTATAATGACCATACTGATTTACTTTATGCGTGGTTTCATTAGAAACTAATGGTGCTGGACGGATCTTCCAACAACCAATCAAACGAGTTTAATCAATAAAAATTTTTGTTAAGCAATAATTAAGGTAACGCAATTTAAAAAGAACAAATCTTGTAGCCTATAAAAACATGCCATAAATCATGTTTCACAAAATCAAGCAAAAAGAAACACAAGAAGCACAGGTAGATGGGGTAACCGACAAACGCTCTAATAATAATATCGCTATTGGCTTCAAGCCCGAACTCTAGATGTACCTCTGCCTCGGCAAATAATTAAGAAACAAAGATTGATTTTGACGTCACGTTATTTTTTTTTTTTTGTTTATGCAACTGTTAATGGACAGTTGTTTATAGCTTTATTCTTTTTGATTTAAAAAAAATCGACTATTTTAATGGAAGGGTTGTTGTCGATATTTTTCATATTATTTTAATGCTTATTTTTTAAAAATTCTTTCATTTATCAAATAAACAATATTACCACTCATTATTAGCATTATTACAACACTTCAGTATATCGTGTTTGGTTCTAGTATCTCTTCCACCACTTCAGCATTTCAAAGACGTTTAGCACTTTAAAACATCGAACAGATAGATGATCCTGACATAAATTTTGCATCAAATTTAGAAACTAGTTAGCCTTGAATATAACGAATGTACTTCCATATTCTGCATACGACCTTATATTAAGTAAAGCAAAAAGTTATTAGAGCAAAACAAAATTAATTGCTAGACTCAATTTACCGATTAGAAATAGTCCTCAATCCAGGTCGACGACAGAAGACCAGCAGTGCCAAGGAATTGGCGGCGGTTGACACCAGGAAAAAGGCAAGGAGCACAATCTCCTCGACAAGCCGATCCTTTGCTTCCATCCCCTCTGACTTCAACGCTCGTCCAGGAGACAAAAATGCCGACTGTTCCATACAAAAGTCATCACTGTACCACTTAAAACACTTTTCACGCAATCTAACACTTTCAGTTCGTTGTCTTGTTTAACTGCAGTTTAGTCGCGCAAAGTTTTGAGAACACGCAGGTCGAAACGGCCGCGTCTTTCTCGTTCCGCTGTCGAATGACAACTGGCGTCTGGCGCGACTCGCGACGCGACGCGGCACTCAAGCCGGCGGAAAGCGTGGCTGGCCGTCCCCACTATACCAACCAAGGTACCAACCGCTGTCTGATTCTGGTACCGGCAAATACCGACGGGCCAAGCAATCCCCAGCCATCTTGCTACAAATCAAGCAGTAATCGAAATGCAAACCGTATATATACTTACCTATCTTTGATACTCTCACTTGACGACATTTGAGATATTCGTTGCGTTGAATTTGATCGTTGTTCATTATACACGATGATTGCTTACGGTAAACGAATGTTTAAGAAAAATACTATGACAAGAGTAAGTTTGCCTTGATAAATTGTAGAAAAGGGACTTATACCAGAAGCTTCATTACGATTGCTAGCTAAAAGTGCAAAAATGTCTGCGAAAATCGTCAAACTTGATAAATGTTACGATGACTTTAAATTTCGACCACAACTTTCAAGTCTAGAAAACAAAGCATAAAATAGGTACTGCCTGATTTTAAGCTTTTTAATAGCTGCTTTAAAATAATAAAAAAGGTAAGGAAGATAGAGACTAGAGACTAACGTTGCCTGTTCGTAGGTTGCCATGGATGACAGTGACGAAACAATAGATGATTTAACAAATTCTTAACAATAATGTAAATAGTTGGTATTAAAACACACTTAAACACATTTTTAAGCAATGATAAAACAACTTGTGTTGCTGGTTCTGTTATATTCTTAACAGATGAGTAGGTAGTATTTCTTTATAGTTTTAAGCTAATAATGTAACGGATGAGTAGCGTTCTAATTAAAGACAAAAAAGCTACACATTTTAGCAGAGCATAGTGACTCTAATGAGAATGATGACAAACGATTGGCGCGGTTGCTAAAGTATCCAACTTCGACAAAATGGATGATCTCATGGCGTGGTTTTTGCCCGCTGCGCGCGTCAGAAACATGTTATACCTACGTAACGAGAAGAGATTTCAAACACGCCAGTCTTTATCAAGACTTAAATTTTAAAACCGTCGTATTTACTAGTAAAATTATTTCTGACGTCTAAAACATATCATATATAAATGTACTATCTCTTCTAAAGCCTAATTAAAATTAAATGTATTATTATTTATTATAATATTATCTATAATGATATTGATAATAAACTATAGTAAAACTCCAAGAGGACGATTCCTGTACAATAATTATTGTTTTTTTATTGAAGTATACGATACTGCCCATACAAATTAATGCTAAAAAATAATTTTTGGAAGCGTAGTGTGTCTGTTTGTCCGTCTGATACAAAAACTTGTAATCGGATTTGCATGGGACCTCCTTTATCATAGTGGCACGTAGAGGCCGAACCTTTGAAATAAATATTTGAAATCACACTTTCTATTATAGAAGCTGTGGCAGTAATCTTTTGTAATTGACTGGAGACACATAATATAAAATAAACATATCTCTGGCAACGTTTAGATGGAGCCTTCAACTTATTTCATCCTTATTATTTGATTTAAGTATTTTACTTTAATTTAGATGTGTCTTGTGCTAAAAATATTTATGTTAATCGTAGGCGTACTAATTCACATACTAATGTAAAATATAATATGTGTTTCTTAAAATATATTAACAGCAGAGAGACGTTGTGATGTAGCTAACTTATCTAGTCTGTGAAATATCCGCGCCGACTATTTAAGTCGTATCTTTGTTTCTTTTTTTTATAAATATTTTTGTTAGTAGTAATTTAAATCTGTTAAAACTACATAATTATGTGAAATGTACACCTACACCTTGAATTAAAATGTGAAGCAGCAGTTTGTGTACTTACCATCGTTACGCACAGACATCTTCGCATTTCTGTGACGGTTTTTGAAAGCAGGAAAGAATCAATCACGCTTTTTCTTTTGTATTAAATTCTGAACGTATAGAAAACGAATGTATCGTGGTGTATTTGGTAAAAAAAATCTTAAAATTTGAAAAAACCACACTTTTAGACCGACAAACTTTTAATTTAATTTATATCGGTCAGATTTAAATATGTTTAAGTAAAAAGTACTGTTTAGTATTTAATATACGATTTATTATCGCTCTATTCAATTTTGTTATTTAGTTTATTAGTTTCAACATTTACTGACAGGTGAGAATGTTCACTGGATTATTTTTATAAAAATCCTTGTAATCTTTGTAATAACACTCGACTTAAATTACCACTAATGGTGACGCAGGTAAAAGACGTTTTACTTTATCCCACACACATCGGTAATCATCATCATCATGACAGTCCCTCTCAAGTGCACTCCTGAACGTAAGCCTTCAGGATGCAAGACGTGGTTTTTAGTCACCCGCATCAATTGACTTCCTGTATTTCTTACCAATTGTTATTAAATGTTTAATAATTACCCGTTTAAGCGTTGATGTACTCACCAAACAGCAACGCTTAAAGCATGCAGGCGCGGATATTAAATTTAGCGGCGATCAAAGTATGGAATGGAATTCTTTGTAAGATTCAGATTCTTCTTTCTGTAAGAATTTTGTAGTATTTTTGTTTTTATAGAATGATGATGACAAACGAGTAGACAAACCACCTGACGGTAAGTGGATGCTAGGGCTTTAGGCGTCCACGTTTATAATAGATTAAGAAACAAAATGCAGATACGTTGTCACTCCTGGGGACTTCGATGGAATGCGTCAGCGACTCTGTTCTGAAAACTGACTATACAACAAAACACAGCACCATTAAGCTGCTATTTTACGCTAGTATTTTGTGAGAGCGTGGCCCTCATTTGTGCTACAACTATAATATAGCAGCAGTGTGGCCCTACCACGTAAACGCGGCTCTACCACTTAAAAAAGTAAAGTAAAGAGCAAATCATACTTTAAAAAACTTATATTCATTCGAAGGTCATGTAGAGGACATGACATAACTCCTCCCTAGATCTGCGCCTGAGTGCAACGATCTCATAAGCAGCTGCTTCGCACTTGATCAAACATACGTGGCTTTGTCCGTGTCTGCTAAGCAGCCGATTTATTTAAAACACCATAAAACAAAATGTCCTACATTGTTCATAAAAAAAAACCCCTTTGATACAACATGATATGCATATTTAAAATAGTTCCGTACTTAAACTTAACAATGGTAAATTAATAAGAATGACTTTCAGTAAGTATTATTTATATTCTAAATGAAAATAAATCTATCTTTATTTCTAAAATGTCCAAAAGGAACCATTTGAAAATGGTCTGGCGGTCTTCATAATGTGTTATGGTATATTTTCTCAGGATTATTGACTAAAAATTCGGTATGATTGTACAATAAATTTCTCGGTACTTTAGATATTTCGGTCAAAGGATTTCGAACTCATTAAATTATTACTTAATTCTTAAATCTCATCGTTTTAAATGGCTATCTTTGAATATTCAAAATACATGCTTCATCTTTATATTATTTTTGTCGAATTACTTTGTGACCCAGATATTTCAGAAACAGTATCCTCTAGTCATTAGCTTGTAAAGTTTAGTAAAAGTATACAGTTAGCCATGGGCCTCCCTCTCTATTATATTGTAGTATTTTTTCCTTTTTTACGTCCCCTTGGGTTTCTTGCTTTCCATTTTCCGAACCAGTGGTAAAGCTTAAATGACTTTCAATAAGTACTTTGTAACCCATATTAAATTTATAAGACTCTATTCTATTCTATTCTCCCGCTATATGGGCGATTCGTCTGAATCCTCTCGCTTAGGAAGCGATTGATGTTCGGACTACAAGATCCCTCGCACTTTAAACGCTTATTTACGTCCGACACGTAACGCGTGTGCACGCGACGTATTATACGTCAAATAAATAAATTTAAAAATAAAAATTGTAAGATACAGAACCAAAGTTAGGACTCTTGAATTGAATTGAATATCACGGAATACGAAAAATTACAAGATAAAAAATCCAATACATGCACGCTATGTCAATTAATATTATTGACTAAAAATCATCAAAAACTAACAATTTCTACCATCGGAATTGCATACAATCCTATGAAACTTATTACTTCGACAGCAATAACTACAAACAATATAATAATATTATATATTCAGTAATCTGGTTTGTTTCGTATGGTGACTTAGACTATTCAATTTAATGGTCTAAGTATGGTGACGATAAAAAATCAGAGACCCTTGTACTGATAATGAGGCATTTCATCTCAGGAGTAGCACTGAAAACGCATTTTAACTGATGTAGTTGTCTATAGGTCACAGCGGCCACAGGGAGATCATGTACTAAGTATTAACAGGTAGACTATGTGCTAATGTATTCATACTAATTTCTTTCAATAGATAAACTTATCAGCGGTGATCAGAGCAGCTCTCCAGAACCTGATGGAGACAGCTCCAGGGCCTCGTAGATATAAAGGGGGTCCTTATTGAAGACAATAACTGTCAAAGCTTTCAAAATAATTATGAAGATATTATGAAAATTTCATAAGTGGAAATGTGGACGAGAAAGTTAATGTTTGAAATGAGTCACGAAATTTATTTAATGAAGTGGCGAAGCTCGATACTATTTTGGGGAGAAATTTTAGAGAGGATATTTGTTAAGACAACAAATCATATGACGTCATTAAAAGAGTTCGTGAGCAACCACAATAATCGGATCAGAAACGAAAAATATACGAACGACACCAATCGGATAATAAAAGACATTGCTATTTATAATTTTCATACGCAGTTAAAATTCCCTCCAGAGCGAGTTTCGCTCATGATGCACTTTCCATTCATTCTCTCTCGTAGTACGGCACGACACGATCAGAGAGATATCAGG